CTTCCTGCCCTTCTAGGTCATATTTTGGCCAAACTGTATTGCAAAGGAAAACCAATCTTTTTCGTTTCAATGCCTGGGGATCAAACTTATCCCAGTTTCTAAGGATGCATCCGAGAGGGGAATCCCGGGGCACGGAGCTCTGGTTACCCATCTGAAAGAGAAGACAGGAGAGAACATAGGATAGAGAAGGCATCTCTACACCTATTTGGTACCTCAGGAAGGTGAGGTGTTCCACACCTTGGCCTGGGTAACATGTCCATGCCTCTGTTTACAAGGATGACGGGTTCTTCACCCTGGGGCTCCAGAATTAGCTAGCCTTAGCATTTGCACCATCCGTTGTCTCCCTGTATCTCATTTTGCTCAGAAGGGTTTCTTAGATTTCCTAGGATTGATGCCTAGCAGGGACGCCTTTCTCACCTGTGTGTGGGGCGAGGAAGCATGTAAGAACGTCGGGCATGGGAGTAGTTCTCTTGTCTCTCATATTCCCAGTGACCTTCGTTCTGCAAGAAGTCCAGTAGCTCTGCCCCTGCTAAAGTCTGCAGAGAAGGGACTCTATAGTAAGGTCCCCTTAATGCATTATAATATTGGATTAATGCATACAGATGGTTAGAGGAATGGAGGTAAATCTGATATCTTCCCCTTCTTATAGTAGGTTCCTTGGGGATCATACAGAAAAAATGCTTAAACAGGCACGGAAGCCCCCTGGGGCTCAGAGTTAGTGGACTGGGCTGTTGGTTATGGTTTTTTACATCCCTTATATGATCACATAAGCAGCAAGGGGAGCGCTGGGGGCATTTTCTATCCGCCTTTTCAACATAATGCAAAAACCACCTGACTGCTGTACAGGTCTGTAACAATGGCTTTAGGAGGCGAATGAAGAACTTCCCACTGACCCACAGGAAACTCCGGTTGTAAAGAGAAACTGGGGATTGGGAAAGAGGCCCATAAATGACCATCCGGAGGAACCTGACAGCTCGCTTGAGGAGCCACAGAATGAGGCATTCTTGAAGAGTAGTCGGGCGGAGAAGGACCCGATAATAAACGAGGGATGCCCGTAAGCGAGCATCCTGCCAGTGCCGGTCCCTGCAGTGAGAAAGGAGGCAACTGAAAGGACGAAGCTGGGTCTCATCTCTAGGGAAAAAATAAGTATAAACTTCCTCACAGGCCCGGGCAGGCCTCCGGCGACTGGCACTAAAGCAAATGCAGCAGGTCCCGGACAAGCAGGACATACAAGGCGCTTGCACATGAAGGAGGAATTCCAAGAAGCTCGGCGACGAGGACAGGGACAGCAAAGAGTAAGCAGAGTGATCTGGGGGATTGTTCACCAGTGGCGGCATATTGTGTCCAGGGGAATGGAGTGCCATGAACAGCACGTAGAAGAGCCGACTCAACACGAGAGAGCAGTTTTAGCTGAAAGATGTGAAGCTCCCCAGTCATTGCACAGTTAGGGCATATTCCCTGCCTTTCACAAGCCTCCTGCAGGGAGGGTCACCGTGTCTCAGAGCTACTCAGTGTGGAGTTTAAAGTCCTCCCTCCTCTGCTTATCACCCCTCAGGGTAAACTGAGAAATCAGCCAGAGGGAGCAGAGTCACAGTGACTGAAGGGAAATGGTACGGGGCAGTTGTTAGTGGACAGAACCTGAGAGGAGAAACCCCTCCCCTTAAAGTTGCAAGAACTGCATTAGGGCAGGAGGTTCTTCAGTGCAGAAAGAAGCAGAGGTCGTCAACCAGAGAATCTGGCACCAGCTTTTGGGCACTTACCGAGAAGAACAGTTCACAGGCCACCAGGGGAAAACACCAGATGTTACCAGGAGGGCCGTGGAAGTCCTCTGGGTCTCGGTCTTACCAGGAGGGGCGTGGAAGTCCTCTGGTTCTTGATCTTCTTGAATTCAGTCAAGAGACACGCAGAAAGAGTTAAGCAGGTAAGCGCCCTTTATCTAAAGGCATCGAAGCTCAGAAAGAAGAGACACCCCGAACAGTGGAACAGGGTGGGCTCCTCAAAAGAATGAGTCTGTTCCTACTAGTGCTGGGCAGAGCCTTTTTCTGAGAATCTGACATGATTATTCATGAAGGGGCTGGGCAGGGATGTTCCTAGCAAGCATGTTCCAGGAAGTCCTCTGACCAGGAGAGCCCTGGGAGGGTCCATGCTGGTACACACACCACATGTCTCATTAGCACCTCAAATCTCCACCCACCGGTGTGTGTTTTAGTATCATTTTGAGCAGAAGGCTCTTCTAGAGTGAGTTATGACAGAAGTATACATGGTTGTTAATGGGGAAAAGCCCCATCTCGATTATGTCCAGCTAGCCCCTGATAAGTCCTCTTCTGGGCCAGAGAAGTACAGCCCCAAGGCCAAGTGGAGGCAATGTAGCCACTGATCTTTTTTTGCTGTCAGTGGGCAGCATCTTTAAGGAGACTCTCAGTGAGTTGCATTTCTTTTTTTTTTGAGACCGAGTCTCGCTCTGTCACCCAGGCTGGAGTGCAGTGGCGCAATCTTGGCTCACTGCAAGCTTCCCCTCCCAGGTTCACACCATTCTCTTGCCTCAGCCTCCTGAG